AATGCTGACTCTTTACCCATTCCAGTACACTGTTTCACCAGTGACTGCATCAGATCGGATTTTGATGGCTTGGGGTAGAGAATCGAAGGATCGAAACCCTATAATTTTTGAATTGAAGTTTCTCAAAATAAATTTGATACATAGCAGATTGGTGTTCCTTGAACCCCACGCTTCCAAATTAAGATCATTTCTGTCATTCAGACGCATGGAATTCAGATATGTAATCCTTCAGACGTCATAACAGCGTCATTTTTAGACCGATTTCACTGATTTTTGGTTCCCAGTCCCGTTCAAACGTCACAACCCTATCGGATGCCCAGATTAGCAAAAGTGTTAACATATAAATGACGTCGGTGATATTTGATAAGTGTTCACCGGTTCCATATTCATGGTAGAAAGATAACAATTCAATTCATAAAAGCTTTCTTGTATAACGCGTAAGGCATTAAAGTAGTCATTCTCAAAATTTTGCAGGTAAATAATTTTTTCCACATGTTTAAAATAAGTAAAGCTAAAACTCTGACTTAACCAGAATGATAATTATCAAATATGAGCAAACTCTCATGCTTCTGGGTAAAAAATGTCATCTGTTTGAAAGAAAAAGAACAACTTTACTCAATAATTTTTACATGTATGATTCAATAACTGACAGATAGGTTTAGGCGATGATTATCGGTTGCATCAAAGAAAGCCAATAAACACTTAGAAACCCAGCAAATGAAAATTATGGAACTGCAATCAAAAAAATCAAAAAAAAAACATTTACACAACGAAATTCGAAATCCTTCGCCGCACTTATTAAAAAAATTGTTTTGGGTACTATACTATAATAAACTGTTACCGCTGACTTCTATTTCGTATTTTTTTCCCAAACGCTACTTAAATCAACAAAATTTATCAACCCACGAACTGTTGTAGATGTCGAGCACAGACAAAACCGTCGCCTCCATTATTTCCAGGACCACACAGTACCAGCACTTTCCCTAAATAACTAGCACTTATATATGTATGCTTTTCACTGACCCCATTTTATTGCTTTGTTTTATAAATTCGCCATGAACCGCAACCAGGAGGTTATGACGTCAGGCCGACGGCGCATTAATTTATATTCAAATACGCAGACATTATTGCAGCATCAAACCTCACATCGATTTTAATAAATGTTTAGCAATCGATAATAATGAAAAATACCTTTCGAATACTGTGCATGAACGGCTTTCGCGCAAGCCAAGCCGGCCAATTCCATCAGCTGCTCGACTTTGAAGCCATAAGTGGAGAACAATTCCTCGTCAATTTTTGCTGCCTCTTTTTGTCTGAACGTTTATGTTTAGCAAGTATTTAACAGTACTGTAAACTTTTCATGGAGAAATAAAAAAGAGTCCAAGAAAATAGTCTTCTCAATTTCCATACAGTTGGCCCCTTTGATTAACCACGAAGCAGTGATTATGTTATAAAACATTTTGGGCTATGGCTCTACATTAATTTAAAAAACGCGGAGTCCACTCATTTACAACTTTCCTTTTACAACAATCAAAAAATTCTGCAAAATTATAAGAAATGTAAACAAGAACTCCTCAAAGTTGGATCAATGGAATAAATTTCGTCTCTTATTTTCCAGTAAGCAATATGTGCATCCTAATGTAAGCTTTTTTGTAGCTTTTAAGATTATTATAAACTGCCAAAAACATTTTGAACCATTATGTAATTGATCAGGTTTTTAATCATGTTCTCAAATTAATGGTATTAGATTGATAAGTGCGCAAATACATACCATATACGTCATTATAGAATGTCTGAATCTGACTTTTGGCTCAAACGAAATTGTCGGCATTTGAAAGTCCATCCGTTTGGACATTTTTCCTTGAACGTATAGACTGGCTGTGGTAAAAAAATAACTTCCGGGTAGCTGTGGAATTTGCCGTCTGGCACTGACATTACAACTCACATCTTATCTACGTGGGTTTTTTTTACAAAGCTACGCACTTCCACTGAACCACGTCTCAGACCAATAACAGTATGATAACCCACACACAAAGCAGAAACCTCAAGCCTTCACCGGGCTCAAATAATCCCCATTTTAATACTTGTTCAAAAACAGAGGGAAAATAATTTGATGCCTTCGCGTCGAAATACTTGCGCGTAAAAATGGCTTTAGAGCACACTTTTCTGCCCACTTTCGTTGTGTATAGTACTCGTATTTCAAAGATACTTGTGTGATTGCGCATTTTGAGCAGGATACGCTGAGATGAGATGGGAGAACTACTTTAAAGATAACAGAAAAAGTATTTAAGATAGATGAAAATCAATAAACACTAGTTAGCCCTACATCTAGAACCAAGTTATTACTAAAACAAACTTTTGATCCAATTTGAGCGAGAAATTTTCACGTCTTCGGTACGTAGGATTTGCGTCTCCCACGCATACAGATAGGCTTACTCATAAGTACACCATGCCCTTCACATTTAAGTAGGGCTATAAAAAGTCTTGAAAAACGATTATAACACTGACATTTCACTGATAGCGCCATAACTACTCCAAAGTTCTCGCCAAATTTACTGATAAAGTGAACGTATTGGTCGCATAAGGTTTCGAATTCGCTCAGCCGGATGAACTTCAATGTCCTTTCGACTCCCCCAAAAAAATTATAACTGATGTAATTTTATACGCGAAGTTTAGCGAAAAGGTTAGAAACCGCTAGTTTATAGTCTAGTGGGCCTGCCGCTCAACACAGTGCCCTTACGGTGCCGACAACACTTGCGCGGAAGAAAAGGTCACTAAGCAATTTTTTAGTTGCGCCCTATCGCCTTTCCTTCGCGCAAGTGTTAACGGCACTACATCACAGTCCATATCTATATAACTAATTACATTCAAGAAGCCATCATAAAAAACTTGAATAACATTTTCCAATATGAGAAATTTTCTCACAGTATCACAGATGGTTTTTGGTTCAACCCTTCTACAATGCCCCAATAAACCAAAGAAAAAGAAGTGCGTCAAAAGAAGTATGACTTCCTAACAATTTCGCTGCAATCACTTACAAAACTGTAGATTAAATTATTATATTTTCAATACCTAGCACAAAATGACACCAAAACAATCAAGACTATTTCCAGTGATAGTTTTCGCTGATAACAAAGCTACGATAAAATCATGACACTTTTTTTGTCACACGTATAATCTAAAACTTCAGTTTTCATGACTGATGTGCTTTTCTGACCAGATTACGAAATTCACAAGTGCAACAGAGGAGCTAACAAACACGGATGTATTATGAATACTCTGGA